TACCTTTGCTTCTCTCTAAAGCAGTTCTCTCATTTTGTTGTTGAATATGTGTTTTAACCTTCTCATGTAATTTCTTCACAAAATCAACCCTATATACTCTTTCTTTATGAAAATAATGAGAAGAATCTGGTAAGGGTATTAGGTCCAAAGGAGTGAGAGGGTTAAAACCATAAACAACCTCAAAAGGTGAGATTTTGGTAGTCTTATGAACTACCCTATTGTAAGCAAATTCAATATGGGGCAAGTACTCATCCCAAGATTTATGGTTACCCTTAAGAACTTCCCTTAACATGGAAGATAGGGATCTATTAACTACTTCTGAGATCGAAGAATAGCTGCCCAAGAACGACAAAGCAAGAATGATGCACTCCATCTATTGTCAAGAGGGGGATATGAATGAAAAAAAAGAAAATGAAGAAGGCTAGGGCAGAGGTAGCAGGGGTTGAGTCTGCTGATCGTGTGGAGTCACCTCCTCGCCATGAGATGTGGATAACAGCCCGGACAAAATCAGATGGGCAAATGACTTCTGAGTCTGCAAGGGTCGTTGCTGATAAAATAGTAAGTAAAAATATACAAACTAAGACTCTTCATTTCAACTCATTTAATTCATAAGTGTAGTTTAGGGTATTGTTAATATGTTGTAGGAGGGTTTAGTTGAGCAGACCACCCAGGGCTCATTTGTTTCCCATGGTCGGGATGATATCCTCACAACGGCCATAGGAAGGCCAGAGCACGCAGGCCGTGTGTGTGGTGTTGGTGGTTCTTAGAGCCACCGAGATTTTTTTGGTGCACGATCATACTGGGCATATTAACATTGCATATTAATGACACTTAAATTAATGTTTCAGGTCTTTCAAGATCCATCTCCATTGCCCGAAGATGAAATCATCAAGATAAGAGAACAATGGGCAACTTTTTTTCTTCAAAGTATATATTAGTTAGATTTCTAAGTTTAGTTAGTTAGATATTATGTTTCTAGTTTGATAGCATTGACAAACATATGTTTTATAGCTTTTTTAGGATTATAGGATTTACATTGTCATAATTTATGCTTTTTAAGATTTATATATTATTTTCTTTGTCATTCAATTTTGAAATTTATTTAAATTTTTATTCTGGATTGCCTGGTTTAGGTTTTATATTCTGGACTGCCTGGTTTAGGTTTTATTATGGACTATATATATGCAGGTTTTGGGTATATAAAAAAAACCAAAATTATAAATAAAAATGCAACAATTTACGTCGGACTACACCTTGTTCGACGTAAATTTACGTTGGACCTAGCACTAGCTGACGTAAATTTACGTCGGACAAGGTGTAGTCTAACGTAAATTGTTGCGTCATTTTTCGCCCTTTTTTACGTCGGGCACAAGGCATTTCTGACGTAAATTTACGTCGCGTTTAACAGGCGACGTAAATTTACGTTTCCCGTATTAACATCAGAGCCTTTTTCAACGTAAAAGACTCAAAATATACGACGTAAAAGACCCATTTTGTACTAGTGAACAATGTGATAGAATTATGTAAATAAGATCCCTACTTTTTCAAAAACCTACGCCAACAAACTATTCAAAGATATAAACATTTGGTTGATTTTACTTGCGTATTTTAAAACTGGATTATTTTGTATTTGTTCTCGTAGCATGAAGAGATGGGATTGGAATCATTTGATTTTTTGTTTATTGATTAATCAGACATGAGATGAAGTCAATCTTTGGACCAAGAGGAGGATACATTAAAATACTCCTTCATGCATATAAGAAGTGAGACCTATATTATAAAAGTAGAGAATAGGAATTTTTTTTTTATTAGTTTGATATATAAAAATAGAAATTATAATTTTTTTTATTTAAAATTTAGGGTTTAATTTGATAAGGAGGTACATCTAGACTAACTAATTATATACTTTTAAAGGGTTTGTACTCTAATTTAACACAAAATTCTATATAATATTTACCAATAATTTAATTGTGAATGAAAATAACTTAAGTTATTGAAAGTGGGAGAATAAATGTAACTCACATTCAAGAATTAGTTTTGTTTTTCTTTAAGCTAGAAACTCATTGATTTAAAAAAAAAATCCTATTTATTAAACATGAATGATTATTTTGTGCAAAAATATTTTTATAAATTATTCTCACAACACTATAATACTTTTTTTAATAATTATTGATTTTATTAAATTATTATGTGTTGTGGTGATTTGTTGTTTAATTATTGAGAGACTTTGAGTATTTAGAAATTCTCGTGAGTTTCAGTCATTAAAAGTTCCTTTGAACAAAAGTTAAGTTTAACCTGTTAGGAAGAGATATATAAGTTTTCTTTTAATACTTGAGTTTTGTAAGTTTATTTCAGAGAAAACCCAGAGAGAGAGGAACTCTAGAATCATAAGTGACCCTACTTCCTTTTGATTCCATGGTTAACCTTTGATTCTTTCACAAGTTGAATGAAGTCGTAGTGCTTAGATTCAAGCTTTGAGAACTTCGAATCAAAATTTTGAAGTGTTGTTTAGAGCTTTCAAGAGGTGTTTGTTTTCTTTTTCCTTCTTCTTTTTTCTCTTGGATTTAGAGGTAAGGGAAGCTCTTGATTGTTCTTATTGAAGTTGTTATTGATTTCTGATAGAGTGATACATCTTTGTGGTTGTAAGGATTGATTTCTAAGATTAAGATGTTAAGGGGGGCTTGTTGTTCTTGTGGTGTATTGACGGGGGAATTGATGAATTTGATCAAATTATGATTTGTATGTGGTGTTTCTTACTATAAATGAACTATTAGTGATGCATATGTGTTATTGGATGAATTTCATGTTGGAGATTTTTCTTGTTTTTAAGTTAGATGGGCCAAAACGTGGATCTACCAAGTGTAGAAATCACCATTGTATTGGGCGCAACTTCAAGGTGTCAAGCATGATGTAGGTCAGAAACTCTTTGTCTTATTAACGTTGAGTGCATGATTGGTAGCGTTGGACATGAGTTAAAGTAAAAATCTTTGAATTGGTCACGTCGAGCGTGGGTTAAATGGTGTTAGGCATAGGTTCCCTTGGAGCTTTTTCATTTGGTGCCATCAAACCCTAGTTAAGTGGTGCTAGGTGGGATCAAGACAAAAATTCTCTGTTTGAATGACGTTGGGTGCTAGGGGAGTGACATTAGACGTGAGTCAGACATAAATTTTCTACTTAAATGAGGTCGATGTGGGTTTAACTACGCTAGGTGTGATTGCCACAAGGTAACTACGCTAGGTGTGATTGCCACAAGGGCTCTTCCTCATTTATGTTGAGTGTAAGTAGATTGGCGCTAGGCATGGGCGAACCAAAGACTCTCCAACTTATTCACGCCAGATGCAGGGAAGATGGTGCCAAATGTGGGTTACCTAATGAAAATATGTTGATTTCTTGACCAAGTGTTAGACATGTATGTAATAGTTGAATCTCTCACACATTGTATATTGATATATGTGATAATTCTTTATACATTGACCTAGGCTAATGTACATTGATGATTAAACTGTTGAAAGTTGCAATTTGAGTTGTATATTGTATGCTTAAGACATTATGTTGAGTTATTTTGATTGACTTAGGATTAGATGAGAGATTGTTTTAAAAGTTGAATATTTCATTGTGAGGATATTGTGTTGGAGTGCTTTACATGCTTAACTATTGAAAATTCTTCTTGAAAAATTGACTCTTGAAGTAGACTGTTGAGTCTCTTATAAGATCTTAGTTGATGTGGTATGGGGACAATGTCAAGTCATACTTATTAGAGACCATAATATAAGGGCCAACTCAAGCTATATTGATTATAAAGCGACCAAATGTTGATCCATATGGAGACCAAGTCGAATCATAAATGTATAAAGTAACCAAACTGAGTATGCTATGAAGTTGAGGACCATAGTCTCTAACTAAGTAATGGAAGAGATGTAGTACTTAGAAGGTAATTAACGAGTTAATCTCATAGGAGACTTAGTTATGCATACTAAGAGCGTGATAGGCTTACATTTAAGCTATTCTACCTTGACAAGAATATTAGACTTTCATAGTTTAAGTGACAAAATTTGAGAAATCATGTTGTGTTGTGAATATTTGTCCAAATTAGCTATTGATTTAGCTAGTTCAAAAAGATTGCATTGTTAGTTGGTTTAATAAGATAAAGCCACTTAGACTATTCACCTATGTTATAAAAGATCTCTTAATTGAATACGTGATGACAAATATAGTTGTTATATTGTGCATATGTGGTTAAGTTTGTTGCGTTGTATTTTGCATATGTTAAGATTGTGTTAAACGCACACCTGAGCTATTTTACCCTAACAAAAAAAAATATTTTCTCCAATAAATTAGAATAATATGTCATATAACTGAATATGAGTGCTACATACAATTTTAAATTAGAAAACAAATAAAAATAATCCATAAATAAATAAATAAATCAATGAAGAGACAAAATAATTTAAATTAGAAGATAAGAGAAAAAGAAAATAACTATTTACACAAGAGTTTTTTTAGAAAATAATTTAAACAAAATTCGACATGGAATAAAGGAAACTTGACAAAAAAAAAATCATTTTTGGTTTATAGATATATAAGATAGAGAATAGAGGATAAAGGATAACATATTTAGTAAAGGCATGATAAGTACAAATAATTAATCCGATAGAAGATAATTTTTTAAATCAATATACAAATCAAGGATAATTTATCCCAAAAAATTAGAAAAATTCCATAAATTCGAATATGAGAAGTACACGTTAGTTTAAATTAAGAAAAAAAATGAATCGATGAAGAGATGAACTAATTTATCTAAAGACACAAAAAAATAGAGGATAAAGGATAACACATATAGTAAAAAAGAGTTAATCTTAATATAAAATCATTAATAAACAATTAAGACCATTTTAGTTTTGGTTAAAACACACGAATCTAACCCAACGTCACGTTTGGTAGAAACTTTTTACAAACAAAGGGATTTGTCAGGCTAGAAACGGAAACCAGCCGCACTTGCGAGTTGCCAGACAAAACGAAAAGCAAAAGTCGTTTTTAATTTTTTTGATTTTTTCCCCTAAAATGGCTCCGTCCAATCCAAACTACAAAACGCCGGAAAACACGCGTTTTTCATTCTTCTCATCTCAGACTCAGACAACAAAACCACGATCTTGTCTTGCGTTTATTTATTTTTAATTTTTGCATTTCATTTTAAATATTATTTTATTAACACTAATTATTAATAATATTTTAGTAGTTTGTTCTCTCTCTGTCCGAGAATCTGCTAAATTCCTGCAACACCTCAGACAGAGGCGGAGAACTCGCCGCCCTCAAAATTTTTCAATGAAATTAAGGCGGCAATAAATAACAATAACAGCAACGATACCGTTTTTTTCCTTCCCTTTCTCTCTCTACTTTCTCTCTCTAGACCCTTCCATGCCTGCTTCCTTCTCCGTTGCCTCCTTCCGCCTCCTCTCTCGCCGGTAACACTCTCTCTCTTCGCTTCGCCAAATCCAAGGGAATTCCCAATGTCATGGTTGATAATCGATTATTGTTATTGCGTGATGTTATTGCAGGGTGTAATTAGAAAAGGAGGGGCTTGTGGCAATGGAGGGGGAACCGAGCCAGCTCAGACGGGCCTTCGTTGATGCCTCCGCCGGAGCTATTTCCGGTGGAATTTCCAGGACAGTGACGTCACCTCTTGATGTTATTAAGATTAGGTTCCAGGTTTGTCTATCTTACTTTTTAATCCATCTTTTAGAATTTGTGGTTTCTTTGACTTTTCCATTCTTTCGCTCCATCGTGTATTTGTTCCTCGTTTTCTGGTTAGGGAGACGTGTCCTGGTTTAGAAAGTTTCTTCAGTCATTTATTTCTCAGCCTTTTTGCTTTTTTAGATGGTTTTCGGTGTTCAATTAAGGAATGACATAGAGTAGAGTAGAGTCGGGTCCAGGGTTTGGCAATGTCTTTCTCTGTAAATACTGGGATTGGTTATAGTTTAACTTTAATTTGTGATGGGAAGGAGTGTGGTTTGGCTGTTAGCTTTTTTTTATTAGTTGGAATTGCAATGAGGATAACAAGGTTTTAACTCATAACTTTTTTCATATTATCCCAACTATGTTGATCCTAGTGGTTCATACCTATCTAGCTTGAATGCAATGTTCAAATTTTTTATTTTTATTTTTCATATTTTTTTTAATTCTTTACTTTTTAGTCTTGACATAGGTGTAGCCCACTTGGGCCAGGGACTCATTCTGCTTTGCAGTACTGTGACTTTCGCCGGCTCAAAGAGTTTTCACACATGACAATGCATGTTGGTTCTTAGGATTCGTTTAATCTAGTATGAAATATATTATGGTTTGTTTGGATAAACTTCTTCAAAAACACTTCTTAGTTAAAAAAGTGAAGGGAAATTCAAATAAGTTTCTCCATGAGTCCAAACTAACTTATGCACAAGTTAAAAATAAGATTTTGGAGAAGCTAATAGGAGAGAACTTCTACAAATTAAATTATGCATAAGCTAATTGCAGTTTTTCTCTCTTAAAAGTGTTTTTGAAGAAGCCCCAAGCATGATGTTTAGAAACTCGTCAATTTTCCTTCTCTTTTACTCATACTACTGTTTAGATAAAAAGGGACCTATTATCTATTAGAAAATATTATATTCGCTCCTGGTGATCAAAAGGTCTTCTGTTTCGGTTTCCTTGCTTAATATATCTGGAATTACTCAGTTATTGGCATAATTTTGTTTAGAAGTTCTGTGACCTTGGGGATGATTGCATTGGCTTGGGTTGTACAATAAGATTTGTGTCTACTTGTTAATGTTTTTAAGTTTTGCATGAATATAGGGTACTTGGGTTCATGACATTCTTTTTGTAGCCTTTCCCTTGTCAAGGTGTGCAGTGAGCTGAAATAAGTTGTCATTCACATTCATTGACAGGTTCAACTGGAGCCCACATCTTCATGGACTTTACTACGCAAGGGTTTGTCTACACCTTCAAAGTATACTGGCATGTTACAAGCAGGCAAAGATATTTTTAGAGAAGAAGGCATACAGGTAGAATAACTCAGTTTCTATAACTATTCATTAGTCCCCCCCCTACTTTACTTCTCTATATTAGTAATCTGCCTCCGATCCCTATATTCCTTAAAAGGGTACTAATTGGCTGTTGGTGAAATCAGTATATTTGATAATTCTTGAATTCTTAAGAATGTCTTTCAGAAGTTTCCTGTCTACCTTTTTTTCTGGGGAAAATAGATGTATTAGCCTTTCTTATTTTGCTATATTACAGGGTTTTTGGCGGGGCAACGTACCAGCTTTGCTCATGGTTATGCCATATACAGCTATACAATTTACTGTTTTACATATGTTTAAGACTTTTGCCTCTGGTTCTTCCAAGACAGGTATCCTATTTTGTATTTCAATTGTTATTCAGTGTCCTAACGTCTCAGCTGGATGAGCAAAATGAATGTTTTATCTACTATTTTCCTAGGTGTCTGTCTACTAAACTTTATTTTTGTTGAAAATATTGGTTTATCACATCATTATCAGTTAAAACTTTAAATATGTAGGTCCAAATCTCTTCATATCGTTACAGTGTAATTCTGAATTTAAATTTGATTTTACTAACTTATGTCATTTTTGTACAATTTACTAATACATTTTAATAAGTCACTTTAGGGGGAGGATGCTTTCTGTAGTTAATGGATGTATACACTATTTGTATGCCAATCAAAACCTGTGTCCATGTGCAATCTATAAGTATTAATTACTAGGGAATTTCCTGTTGTAGGTTCATTTTGTTCATTTTTTTTTTGCTTTCTGTTGCTGCAGAGAATCACAATAGTTTGAGCCCTTATCTATCCTATGCGAGTGGAGCATTTGCTGGGTGTGCTGCAACTGTAGGGTCATATCCTTTTGATCTTCTCCGAACCATACTAGCTTCTCAGGGTGAACCAAAGGTATAAGCACTATAAAATGATCAAGGTTGCAAGATGGTTTTGAAGTAAATTACTGTAATGTGTATTAGTGTTATGAACTGTGAAGGAAATTGCTGGCATGCTTTTTAAACACCCTTGGCTGTGATCCTGTCCATTTACTTATGCTTCTTTCTCAGTCCCCTGTGCTAAATATGTAATATAGTTCATTTTTGTGTCTTCACCTAACAACTTAAAAGCATTTTGTTTAGTTCATTACCATTCATTTTGCCAATTATAGGGTGGGAGCACATTTTCTTGATTAATAATGATGGTATTTCACATCTGAAAATTTATCAAATCATATTATCATGAATAATTTTTAATGGTCTAGAAGCCATGTTTAACCATTAAGTTTGCTGATGAAATGCCTTGAGGAGCACAGGGCATGGCTGAAAATTTGCCAGATCATGTCATGTGTGATTTTTAATGATATAGAAGCTATGGTAAACCTAAAATATTCTGGTCAAATGCATAGAGGAACTTTGTAGCATGGCCGTTTATTGCAATGTCATCAAGTAGGCACCCAAAATCTGTTGCTCAAGCATTGATGTGAATAGGTGTGACATGGTTATATAGAATATAGATTATAACCCTAGCCTCAAATTTTGGTGTAATGTTCCACCTCAGTTCTGGACAAAATAGAAAAACCTCTACTGCCTTTTTTTTTGTTGGACAAGAAATTTATTCAAAACCTAGAAACCTCTAGAAAAACTAATACAACCAAGATCAGCCCTTAAGGCGTTAGAAGCCCTACTGTTGGCCATTGACAATATATTTTTAGTTTAGTGCATAGTTTTAGGTTGTTGTGGTCCTTGTTGTCCTGTGGAATCAATTTGTAGCTATGTTATGCTAATATTTTCCCATCATGTAGGTTTACCCAAACATGAGGTCAGCCTTGGGTGATATTCTCCAAACTCGTGGCTTCCGAGGCTTGTATGCTGGATTGTCACCAACCCTAGTTGAAATTATACCATATGCAGGCCTACAATTTGGAACCTATGATACTTTTAAACGTTGGACCATGGTAAAATTTCAGTTCTTTTTTTTAACATTTCATTTATTTTTAGTTGACATGATTATGCGTATTGGATGTCACTTGGTTGTGAAACTATATTAAGGTGAACCTGTTGGTCCTCTTATATTGTGCATTTCTGGTATTCTAGCCTCTAATTTGCCTTGGCTTGTACCGTGATTTTACTTACTTGGTTGAGTTAAATGAGCATATTAGAATTAAATTGACAAAAGATGCGGCAATATTCAATCCCTTTTGTTATGAGGGTTGCTCTATGCATGTCTCACTTTTTCAACACCTGTTCAAATCTAAATCTCATTGTTAGATTTTTATCTTACCTGTTACATAATTTGCTATTCTGGGTGTCTAGATATGGTTGCTATTGGCTTTATACGTGCCAGTCATTATTTTTGCTCTAGGAATTTGCATCGACAGAGAAGCTTATAACAGCAGTTTGTATTAATTTTGAGGTTTAGTCCAAGCAATCAATCTTGATTATGCCTCACCTAGTCTCAGGTGTGCATTTCTGCTAGATTAAATATATTTGCAAGTATTCAAAGAGAAAAGGATACTTGGAACCGTGTTGATGCAAATTTAGTCCACTCAAGTACCAACATCGTATAAAAAGTTGGATTCCCTCTCAGATGACAAATGCTTCACTTTTACTTTATATAGTGAGCAATTCTCTGATACCTGTTCTGATGCATATATTATGTGGGATAATTGTAGGCATGGAATCGTCGTCAATATTCAAATCCTTCTGCAGAAAGCCTCTCTAGCTTTCAGCTATTCCTGTGTGGCTTGTCTGCAGGAACATGTGCCAAGCTCGTTTGTCATCCACTTGATGTGGTCAAGAAAAGATTTCAGGTAAATTTTAGAAAGTTGAACCCCCATAAAAAACAAGTAAACTTGTGTTAGGCTCTTGCCTGATTAAATGATGTCCGTAAGTTTCCATGACTTGATGTGGATACAATTATGAATATGTTCATTATTTGTTTACTGCAGATTGAAGGTCTACAAAGGCATCCAAGATATGGAGCTCGGCTAGAACATCGTGCATACAAAAATATGTCTGATGCCATGAGACGAATATTACAGGCGGAGGGTTGGGCTGGTCTATATAAAGGGATTGTCCCATCAACTGTTAAAGCTGCACCTGCTGGTGCTGTAACATTTGTTGCATATGAATTGACATCAGATTGGTTGGAATCTATTTTAACTTGATATTTTTACTATTGGGGAGAAGGGGATTTTATGATTTTTTTTTTTTATCTCATTATTTTTTAATCAACTTAATTCCCCCCGCATAGGAAGCATGATGAATTAACCGCCGCAATAGTGAATAAGATGTTAGTTCTTTTAAGATGGAAAATAAGTCAAGATAAAAGCGAAGATCTAGCAGGGTTTCTGTTGTTATATTAGTTAACGGGATTTTTACTTCCAAATTTATCTTAAATGGTTCAAAACCTGTTTTTGTTTCGACTTTATCATGAACGATTTGAGAGGTCTGGAACACAGAAGGTTTTGCTGACTGTACTAATGAACACAGAAGCTTCTGTCTTCATTACAAACAATCTAGTTAACGTTCCTCAATGGCCAGGATCTAGGTGACTAATTATGTTTAGTACTAGAGGTAAGTTAGTTATCATTACTCTTCCAGGTAAATTTAAAGCTTAACCAGGGGCGTTGAGGACACGAACGAGGACCAAGTCTATTCGTCCGCAAATCTAAAAGAATTACACAATTATAAATACATGCAACTTGCAAGGCCAAAGCTCAATTTGCTCATGTTTTATTAATTGTTGTGAAGCACTGAAAAAAGAACAAACAAAAACTAAGCATAGGGTTTCAAAACCCTTATTGGAACTCACTCTCCAGGGTTCATTTCCGTTACAAGAACAAATTCAATTGTTGATATCACGATATCCTTAAAAATCTAAGTATTTGGGCTGGCCAGCACTTGCTAATATAATATATAGTCCATTACAAGTCAATAATGTCATGATGTCATGGCTTTTGGCATACTCCTTTCTGTTGAACTACATTTTTCAATGGGCAAGACTTTATCCACACTTCAAACCATTTAGAACAAACAGCCTTTTTCAGACAAGAACTAGTTAGCAATGCCAGTAAAGCTGTTTATCGTGGTGCTTTGTTCTTGTCTGTACTGCTCCCTTCTGGAGGTTGCGATAAGAACTGCAAGATCCTCTGAATCTGAGCAACATCGACATTAAACTTTTCGGCAATTTGGTGAGCATCCATAGGCCCATTGTGATCATCAGCCTTGCCTTCATGCAAGAGGAGGATATGGCGCAACTGTGCTACATTCAAAGTCCCAGCAGGAACTGGCCTTTCCTCGTAACGACCAGAATCTGGTTTTGTGTTTCGCAATTTGGGCATAGGCCTACTATACTTCTCAGCCACAAAGGCCTGTAATAACATTGTCTAACTGTAAGATGAGCTTGTCTCGGTAAAATATGCCCTAAAAGTCAAAAGAAAAGCTTTGACCACTTAAACCGAAATAGTCGATGGTAACAGATTATTTTTGAGATATTTTTTTTAAAGCTCTCTTGGGAAGCTGCTAGAAAAGGGATTACTTTTAGGAATCCTAACACATATTATGTACATTGGACTTTGGAGATTAATCAAATTTGTTAAGTTTCCAAGGCACCATCCTAATACTATGGGTAAACAAATGACAAAAACCATTAATCCAGCCTTGGTTGATGATGAGCAATGGTACAAGATTTATAAAGGTATATTAGTATGTAATCATAAAGGTATACATGTCAAGGTAAGCAAGGCAAGAATATATTTTTAGTCCTTACTAGAATTTTATTCATTTCTAGTTCCAAATGTCTTGAAAATAGTGTTTTCTTGGTCACTCAAAAGCCCCTTTGCAGTTTGCAGGGACTAATAAAATACTACATTTTTATAAAGTTTAGGAGCTAACAGTGAATAAAATTTGATAAGGACTAAAAGCAGAAATTATGATATTTTCAAGGACAGTCAAAGAAATGATTATCTTGGCAGATGTTCTTTCATCTGACAGGAGATGAAGAAGCCAGTGTAGAAAAAAACGGGATTTCCTAGATCTTCAATGCCAATCATACCGAATGACATTTATGCATCAACTTCAACTCTACATAAGGAGTAAAGACAACTTCGGAAAACTCACCTCACCCATCTCAGGTTTCCCCCCAGGCTTTGCTGTAATTCTACCAACCATTTGACCAAGCATAGCATCAAATTTCGGATCTCTTTCTTCCAGGACGTTGTCCATATTATTAACTCCAGGACGATCATCTTAAGGCAAGAACAAATAGCAGTGTAATCAACAACAATGAACTATCACAGTGGCATTATAAAACCTCACAAAACACCAAAATTATAAGCAACATCCATGCATGCATATCGCAAAAAATACACAAATTAACATTAGGCGACACCTTTAAGGGTATATCCACCACGCAAGGTGGAAAAGCTGAAATGAAAACAGTCCGAGATGGAAGACTTGAGGCCATTTGATTTTAGAAAATGGTTTTTAGTCTTATTTTCTGTTTTCACATTTAATACAAAATCGTAATCTTGTATTAATTTTGATTCCTGTTTGTTTCAAAAGAAAACAACTCACTGTTTTTTGTTTTCATTTTCTATTTTCACAATTTCTTACTTAAACTTTTAAAAACAAGAAACAAATTAAAAACAAAGTGACATTTTGTAATTAGAAGTGAAAACAGAAAATACGTGTTCACTGGTTATTGCTAGATTGTAAATGGGTGAACAATTAACCAAGTCTCTTAACTCCTGATTGTAAAGCCTGTCTTGGAACACGGAATGTCAATCTAGTGCTATCAAGATCGCTTTTTTGCTGTGTTACATTAATGTTTGGCCAGGAAATGTCACACTTGAGCACATAGACTAGTGTTTGATTGTCAATTTTGGAATACTAAGTGATTCATGTATATGGATAAAAAAAATGGAAGAACGATTGAAACTCTACTTGAAGGTCAATTTCTTATCATTAAGGAGGGATAGAAAACAGCGAGGTTGAAGAAAAAATGTGTTGCACACCAGTATTTACTGTGCAGCAATTTGACTGTGACAAGCATCGTGAATTTTATTCTTTTTCTCCAAACTTCTCACTACACCATTTTCAGCTTAACTAAGCATGCCTACCCATTACCCAACCTTTCTGGGTGTAACGTGAAATTTCCAAAAGCAAAACTTTAAACTGAATAACGATATTCACAAAGCTCTACATGGTTCTTCGCCTTGTTCACAAAAACCACAACATAGTAGTAGAACACAGTTCCACCATAACCCTCACAATACAAGCAACCTTAATTTCGGAGCCACCATTGACGTTTTCGGTTTTCCCAGAACGAAACAATGTTAATGAGCGACATTTGGCAATCGCTTAACCCTAGTTTCCCAAGCAAAGACCATGAACATAAAGAGAGAGAGAGTTACCGGCTTGAAGTACGTCTTGTTCGGCGGCTTTTGAGATCTGTGGCGGCTTGTCGGCGGCGACCTTAGACGGCTGGCGGCGATCGACGGCGGTCTTGGGCTTGGAGAAGGATGAGGTGTCAGCTTCGGATGCCGTTCGGATTCTTCCAGATGCTCGACGAAATGCCTGACCCATCGTGTGGTGTGATGCCAAACGAGGCCTCGCGGTCAGTTATTCTACCGTAAGTACAATGTTGAACAGAGAACCTTCCCAAACCTCGTGGCTTGTTTTGGTGATGTTTTAGACGGATGCATTTTGGGTTTAATTAATTACACTTTTTTTTTCCTTCTTCTTTATCCATATCTTAAGATTTCACAATTTTTGTATCTAATTTCTTAAATCACGTTTTTGTCACTTACTCTTTTTCTTATTGCTTAAATTTTAAAATTTTATATATTTTATAATCGTTTGACACAATTTTTTTTTTTTACGTAATTTGTTAATTATTGATATTGATAATTAACACATCACGTAAATAATTAATTAATGATGTTAAGTTATTAATTAATAAAATAATAAAATATGTAAAATTTTAAAAATTAGATGATAAAATAAAATATTGATAGTAAAATTTGTAAAATTATGAAATATAAAGAACAAAATTGTAATTATTCCTATATTTTATGTTTAGAGAGAGGTGTGGACGATGGTGGTCTCCATCGTGCTAATGATGGAGAGTGGTTTCTAGATAGCTAATGCCCAGAAGTTGACATAAGGGGTATGGAACTAGTCACATTTCATCTTAGCAAACTTCGTCTACGCAACATTGTCTAGGTATTGCTTCACAAGACATTCTTGATGAAAAACCCTTTGGAGAGACTAGATTGATGTAGTTCCTCCTCCATGTTTTTTAAACGGACCTTTCCTTCTTGATCTCCTCCTAACTTTTCCAATGACCTCCAATGATATTAGAAGCTATCTTCAAATACACATGGAAAGGTAAAGAGTCCCGTTGGAGACACCACACTCATGGAGTGATAAGTCCCTTCAAATCTCACCAAACTCAATTGAGGATAAGAGAAATGGAATAAGTTTCAAAGAGAGAAACAAACTTTGAGAGAGTATTAGAAAAATGCATCTAATTCATTAATACTCAAAGTTAAAGTTCAGCCAATATAAGGAAATCCTATACATAGGAGTTTGGTTGGCTTATGGTGCAAGATAATCTAACCATGGTCAAGTGTAACCATGGTTAACTATCTTATACTTAAGCTAACCAATTTTAGTTAACTTTCTACAAGTCTAGTTAGTTGTCAAGAAGCTTATGGAGCAAACTAAGTTAATCCTAGTTTAAGAATAACTTATGTTAGCTTAAGTTAACTCCAATTACCTAACCTAATTATTATAATTACTAGACTAATGATTACTTTGACTAGTTTGTTGAGATGTCACTATTAGGGATGACAACAGGGCGGGTCGGGTACGAGTTTCATGATATCCGTCCCCGTCCCTGCGAGTCAAACCCATCCCCATCCCCGTCCCCGTACCCATACCCGTCAGGTATATAACTTTCATCCCCATCCTCGTTCCCGTCGGGTATCGGGTATACCCATACTCGTACCCGTCAATTTTTTTTTTTTGTAAAAAAATATGATATTTTAAAATTATTTTTCTATTATATTATAATTATAATTAAGTTATTTCTCTATCTCATATTATAATAAATAATCACACATAAAAAATATTAAAATTCTTTAATATAATTAAATTAAAAGTGAGTATTAAATTAAAAATGGGAACGGGAACGGGTACGGGGACGGGTAAGTACATACTGGTTCCCGTACCCGTACCCAATTTAATACATCAAGTTTTATTCGTACCCGTACCCGTACCCAGTCAAACCGGGTATTCTCCGTCAAAGTCGGGACAAGTTCGGGTAGTACTCGTGGGTATGGGTATATTTGCCATCTCTAGTCACAATCAAGGCCATGCGACTTATTTAATAAGCTTGGATGGCTTGTTTATTAAGCTTGGATGTCCAAATCACTTGCTTAGGCAAGTGAACATCCAACCTTAATGGGCTAGAAATGTTTGGGCTATCCAAGCCCAAATAAGTCTATATAGCCTAGACTAGTTACATCTCCCCCAAACTACTAATTACATCCAAAAAGGAAAATACAAGGAAAAAAATTGCTATACTACTTGACCCAAAATACATGGTCAAAAATATCCTATACAATCACTATTAAAAATGTAAAACAACAACAGGAGTCCTTAAGGTAGGATAGACCTCCAAAAGTAGGGTACCTTACAAAATAAGGGTAAATGACCTACAAATTTTCAAACCATCATTATCATCTTTCACCCTTTTTGATTCTTTTTCTACCAAAGGGATCCTTGGAAAGTAGGTTTCCATCAACCCTTCATCTTGCATTTTCTATACAACAATCATCTTTTCAAGTAGGAAGATGTTCTTGGGTTACTCCTTCATAGGCACTTTTTGACCAGAAGGGGATAGTTCTTGGGGCCATTTTGAACTTAGGATTTTGAAAGAAAAAAGGATTTTCGTGAGGAAAAAGATGAATAGTAATAGGTGCAAAAAGAGGTTGTGTAGTTAAGTGTTTGTGGGTTTATGTGACATAAAGATATATGCACGTTTATGAGTCATGGTTGGTGAGCAACAATTCACATAGTAGTTACATGCTAACGAAACACGCTTCTATTGTGTCCACTTTTCCACGCATTACCTTTCTGGTTAATCAATGCGATAATAATTCCTTGCATTTAATGGTATTTAATATGCCTATTACCTTTCTCAAACTTCAAATGAGATGTTAAAAAACATATATTTATTTAAAGTAATTGTGTTAGATTAATGAAGGTAAGATGATGCATATCAAATGACACGTTAATCAAATGAAGCAAGATCAGATGAATCATACAACATGATCAGATGAAGCATAGTAAAATGATGTATCAATGTCTTAGTCTACTAGGCATTTTAAATGTAGATGTTTTTTAGAAATGAAATTGAAACATTCCTTAGCTAAAGCCTTTTTGGACATAATCACAAATGAAGTATATCTTATTTCAATGTGCTTAACTTTGGAAAGTTGTATGAGATTTTTTGATAGATTTATGGCACTTGTGTTGTCATAGAATACAAGTATATTTGATTTAAGACTAGAGTAGTCTTCTAATTGATATTTCATCCATAAGAGCTATGAACAACATCCTGTAGCTGAAATATATTCTACCTCTATTGTTGAAAGAGTTATGGAGTTTTGTTTCTTGCTTGTCTAAGAAATGAGACAACTTTCAAAAAAGTGACATCCTCCACTTGTACTCTTTCTTTTAATTTTGTCCCAAGCATAGTCTACATCAAAGAATCCTGTTAACTCGAAATTGTTATTTCATTCATAAAACAAACTTAGGTTAGTAAAACTTGCAATATATATGAATATTCATTTCACAACTTTCAAATGAGACTCTTTGGGGGTCAGATTGAAATTTAGCCCAAAGACATACGCTAAACAAAATATCAGGTCTGCTAGCAGTTAGATAAAGTAGAAATCTAATCATACCTCTGTAGATCATTTGATCTATTGATTTACCTATTTCATCTTTTGATAGTCCTATAGACGGATGCATGAGTATAGGTATTGGCTTGCAATTATTCATCTTAAACTTTTGAACAAGTTTTGTAGCATATTTTTGTCAATGAATATATATGCCTTCATTTGTCTGCTTGATTTGTAGACCAAGGAAGAAATTTGGCTCTCTTATCATGCTCATCTTAAATTCAATCTGCATTAACTTTGAAAAATCTTCACACAATGATTCATTAGTAGCACCAAAGATTATATCATCTATATAAATTTGCACAATAATGAAATCAATTCTAGACACTTTTTAAATAGAATTGTGTCATTTTTTCCTCTCACAAAATCATTATCGAGTAAGAAGTTACTTAATCTTTCATACCAAGCTCTAAGAGCTTGTTTCAAACCATAGAGAGCCTTTTTCAGTTTAAAAACATGTTCTTTTAATTGAGGGTTTTCAAAGCCTAGAGGTTGTTTAGCATAAACTTCCTCTTTAATAAATCCCTTTAGAAAGACACTTTTAACATCCATTTTAAAAAGTTTTATGTTTTTGTGAGTAGCAAAAGCTAGCATAATCCTAATAGCTTCGAGTCTAGCAACTGGAGCAAGAGTCATAGTGAAATCTATTCCTTTTGTCTGATTGTAGCCTTGAGCTACTAATTTAGTTTTATTTCTTATCACTTTTCCTTGTTCATAAAGTTTATTTCTGAAAACTCATCTTATCCTAATGACAATTTGATGTTCTAGCTTTGAAACTAGAGTCTAGACATCATTTCTTTCAAATTAATTCAGCTACTCCTCCATGGTAATGATCCAATCATTTTGTTTTAATGCTTTGTCTATGCTTTTTGGTTATATTTCAGATACTAAAGCACATGATGCATTATCTTTGAGTACAGATCTTGTTTTGACTCTATTAGTCTTGTCACCTAAAATCTAATCTTGAGGATGATGGTTGATGAACTTCCATTCCTTGTGAGATCTAGTGACTTTGTATGATTGATTCGTTTAACTTTCAGGAGGCTCCTTCATCTAACTAGCAACATTTGGCTCTTTCATCTGATCTCCAATATGTAATTTTGCAAAATCCTCTTATAGATTGGATAGTTTCCTATCAGTTGTTAGAGCATCATCAAACTTTACATGGATAGATTCTTCTACCACAGAGGTTCTAGAATTATAAACTTTATATGCCTTTTAGGTGTTTGAGTATCCAAGGAAGATATCCTTATCCACCTTAGAATTAAACTTACCAAGTTTATCTTTAGTGCTTAGGATATAACACTCACATCCAAAAGGATGAAAGTATGATATATTGGGTCTCCTTCCTCTCCATTGCTCATAGGCAGTTTTGTTTAATAATTGGTCTTATCAATATTCTATTTCGAATATAAGACGTTGTGTTCACTACTTTAGTCCAAAAGTGTTTTGGTAAATCATTTTCACAAAGAAGTGTTATGGCCATTTTTTTTGTAAAATTTTGTTCTTTCTTTCAGCTACCTTGTTTTGTTAAGGTGTTCTCGGTGAAGAGAAGTTGTGAAAGATACCATATTTTTCACACAAGTTTTGAAAATTAACATTTTGAAATTCAGCCCTATGGTCATTTCTGATAGTAGTTATGCAAAAACTTTTTTTATTTTGAAAATGCTTACAAAATATCTCATATACATTAAATGACTCATGTTTATGGCCTAGGGAG